AGCGTGCATAGAGGTTGCTGTCTTTGTCAGGGGGTTATACTGCTCCATATGTGATGGCTGACTGGTGGCCATCTTGCTTTTTGACATATCTCAAGACTTTTTTCCATTTTCATTCATATTTGGGACATACAAATGTACATCATACATGTTGGAATACATGTCCATGTCAGTTTGTTTCATAATCAGATTAAAGGTGGCTGACTTTCAGCCATCTTGTTTTTATGGTATTTTTGAATTGTCAGTTTTTATTCAAATTTGGTACACACATTACACATGTTCAGATGCAGGTTCAGCCATCTTGTTTTTTGTAAATTTATTAATTTTGTATTATTTATTACATTTTGTATTATTTATTAATTTTGTATTATTTATTACATTTTTCCCCATGCATGCCTGTATTGTAGGAATATCTTTCAAAGGTTGTATTAAATGTTTAAAAAATGTCAAAAAATCGAAATTGTAAAATAAATTAATAAATATAAAACCTGAATGTACATAGATCATTTAAGATAACATGAGTCTGGTTGCAAATGAATTCATGAATGACAAGATTTCTTTCTGAGATGCATATTGATTTACCTCATATGACAGTTTCCAGTTAATTGATAAGAGTATATTTTTACTGACACACTTAAGTTGTATATTCTCAAACATACACTTTATGTTAGACAGATGGTACTAGTTCATGTTTGACTTGTGTTTCATTCACATTTAATTGTAAAGTGCCTTAATTTCCCACCATGAAAATATTTGTAAAAAGAGTGTCATTGGGTAATACCACGATTATAAGTGTACTTATTAATCCAATGTCCTTGAAACTATATTAACTTCTTTCAAATTTATTGACTTGGACAATGTGGTTCATTTAAATGACATAAACTTGTACTTCCAGGATGTACAAGTCAACATTCGCAGTTGTACCTTCATCAATTAAAACATTATCTTCAACATGTCTTGTGAGTAGACAAAATAATACAAATAATACAAAAAACAAACATTTATGCGAAGTTGGCAGTAGTTTAAACAATATCTGTGATATTTGAATTTGAAATACGCAATTTTTCAGTCTATTCTAAACCTTGCATTATATTCAGTTATTATTGTAATACTGAGTAACAAAAAAGAAAGGATTCAGCCAACATGGTTGGTTCTAAAAGTGCAATAATTTAATTTAGGTCCATGTACACTAAAAAAAACAAATCTATTAATTACGTGCACATTGTATATTAACCTACTGATAGTTTCAGACCACAAGTAATAATTTTAAAAAGTTATTAAAATAAATTCACGATCAAGTTGATGTATATGGCAAACACTGTTTTCCTTGTATTATTTCTAATCTGTTCTTCATAAGTTCCAATATGATCCCTGAACTTGCATAACAAATCAAAGCAATATTTTGGTTTTTCTGCATTTAGATGTCTATATTACCTTGCACCCTGGAAATTAATATCCAGTCCCAAAATGGCCAAAACTAAAACAACGGGAAATAGTTAAGTCGTAGGTATCTGATACTTTCTCTAGAGAATACACATTACCGTGGTTTACCAAAGTAAAACAAATTGAATACGAAATAAAACAATTATTTGCCATTGAATTTTCGAAAATATCTCACCATATTGACAGAGAATCACGTACGTACTGTTTGTAAAGCCAGTTATTGTCAACAGCTCACATATTATGGGCGTATATCTCATTCGAATGGTAGACACACAATGATAAATATTGTGTAGTATAATGTTGTGAACGTGTTGACCGTCATTTGACACCGGATTTGACACCTCTCACGAATCTCGATACCCTTTTTCGAAAAATATACACACTTTTAAAAATGCAATATGGATCATATGATGAGAACTGTAATTTTTAATATGTTTATCTATGTTTATAAATAAATTTGCATATTCTTGATCATGATATGAAAACACTGTTATGTAGCACACATCTGAATATTCAACCCCATTGGCTTTTGATGTTACTAAGACCTTTCTTGAAATTTGATTTGAACAAAGACATTTTAGGCTAACAAGCTTAAGTGTGTGTTCTGAAACCCATAATAATGATATTAAGATTTTAGCAGCCGACCCCAAATAGTTGTTCTGAATGTTGCGAGGTACTCACGATTGCGGTTTATGACAACGTGCATGAGTAATTCAGTATGGCGGATGTCTAGCCTTATATTTTATCGTTTTCATGTGCAGTGAGTCACTGGACAGCTAGTTCACGAGCCAAACTATTTGTTCATAAGGTCGTTGTTGTAGCTATATGGTGTATTTATATAAGTATCACATACATTATTATTTCATTTTGTCTCCAATTTTATCAAAGTTATACTAGTATACATTATTTGCTGACATGAAAATCTTTCAGCTGCCATCATTTGCCAATATATACACACCATAAAATGTCGAGATTGTCGATGTATAAGAACAACTTTATAGTTGTACATATCAATGTTGTTGTCAGAATATTACACAAATTCGTCAAATGTAATTAAAAGGAGATGGTCGTATTTTACACGTTCTGTACGTCGCTAGTCCCACCGAACATATAAACTGTTGAAATATGCTTTTTATTGTAAAATTGAACTTTCTTTATATTTCTTGTGAAAAAATTAAAATACTATTTTTTGTAATCTGTACCAGCTACGCCCCTTGTCCACCCTATTGCATGGATGTTGCACGTAAAAAGAATACTATCAGCCGTGCTCTAGCTGCTGTCAGAGGGTCGGCAAGGTGTATTTTCGTAAGTTTTCGTAAGCTGTAATCATTTGTTTTTATTTTCGTAATAATGTAATTCAAATAAATAAAAAACGTAATTTCGTAGACATGGGCATGGTATAAAACCCAATCAGCTATTTTATTCATCCGTAATTCGTACATAGATCTTTTTTGTAAGTGCATTGTCCACATTGAACTTGTAATTGCTCCTTTGAAGCCAGGGTGTCATATGAAACAGATTTCGTACGCTAAAACTTTCGGGTGAGATCGTTGCACATGCGCAGTGAAGTTCTTGAATTTGTATCGCGGTGTGGTGGATTCTCGTAAATAATGTGCATATTTCAATGAAAATAAATGTTCTGTTTTTGATGCATCGACGGCAGATGGCTAAGTTGTTACGTATATCTCGAATGTAGAAAGTTTCGGACGCACATATGTTTTATATCTTGTTGATTGAATCCTTGCAGTTCTATATACATGTATTTATATTTAAAATATTTATTTTTTATTTATATTAATAACTCGTACATTGCAATTACGGCGCATTTATATTTATTTACCAATATTTATATACCTTTCCTGGACTAGTTTAATTTGCAGTCTGTATGTTTGACATTCATTTACAATAGTTTTAACGGTTTACATAGGCAGACCCATTTTTGTAAATTAACAAATTTATATTTGTATTGGTTAAGAATGTATAATTGCTGAACACATCGACATTACATTTTGTGATCGTATCAGTTGTTCATACTTATAATTGTATTTTATATTAAATACAAATAAATACACCATGCTTGCAACGTACGCAACGAGTTATTATTAGATGAATGTAATACGTCGTACCTTGTAAGATGCGAGTTATTGATAAACAAGTCATCTGAAGATGACACAGTCTCCACTTGTCAGATGTGATTATAGTTGTATATGTATAAAATCGGGTAGGAAGATTAAGTTGAAAATCAAAAGTATGTTACTCAAAGTTAACAGCTAGGACATCTCTATTAAATTTGGTAAAGTTTGCATCTCAATTTAAAAAAATTCACAATCAATTTACTATGGAAATTCAATTGAGTCAATATTAAATAGCAAATACATGAACTATTAGTTCACAAGATATTAACAAAAATTCAAAATTAATTAAATATTCAAATTAGCTCATTAATTAAGTTGAAACTCAATATTGTATAGACATTCGT